CGTCAATGAATCCACCAATCACAACTTTTCCTTTCTTCAACTTCTCCACCTCTAGGAAAAGCTAGCCAAAAGCCTACGATATATGATTTTTGTTGGCATAAATGCATTTCTTCGACTACAGAAAATAACTCTTAAGCTTGTTCTGGTGATTTCAGCTTATAATGTGGGTCCTGCATCTGTCATTCCTGTCGATATACTTGACTGACTCGGCTGTAACCGGGCTAACTTTTGGTGCAGCCGTTCACGCTATGAGCGCCCAGATCAAGGGACTCCTTGGTGTTCATCCGAGGCACACCGATGAGGGTTTTCTTCAACTTATCAAAGTAAGTCACACTTTCCAGTTGACACCTATTGAGAGCTGAATCTCACTATGTGTTTGATAGAGGTCGTGGTCAGAAAGCTGTGATTTTCAGTACGCTGCAGTTTCATTGTTGTATAAAATGTGTGAAAATGGATGAACATGGTTAGCATTTCAGAAGTGGTTTGCCATAGGCGAAGCAGTACCCCATACGAACCTCGTCACACTGAGTATATCCATTATTACGATCGCATTCCTCGTGCTCTATAAAAAATATGCTGAACCTCAGCTCAAGAGGAAGAAGATTACACTTCCAGCGGAACTTGTAGCGGTGAGTCATGGAGTTCCTATGGTCTGAATTGGTGAATTATTTGAGACTGTTGGCTCTGAACGAATGTATCATGCACTTGGATGGAGGAAATTCAATAAAACGTTAAAGGCACAGTTCACGATAATAATGGTATCTGAGATTCTACCATAGGATGAATTATTGGCTTTCAAGAACAGTTCTTGGACGTTGTCGGGCCGAAAAACAGTCTAAACAGGGCTCCGGAGCTGGTACGGCCGACTTACATACCCAAAACGGACGTGTTATCCCGGCCCTACTCACAACTAAATGTTAGGACGCGTGGAGTAGTAAACCAAGGTGATAGAAACCCAGACGGATATAGACGGCGATCTCGTACAACCTCATTTCTTACTACTTTTTGAAGCCTTTATTCCTCAACCACCACCGATTTTTTCCCTTTCTTCGCCTTCTTTGCACTATCCTGCACCATAGCCTCCAATTTTCACTTGACCTTGAACTTCAGGATCACCATGAACTGTGGCTTTACCAGTAACCGAAATGGCCAAACCCATGCCCACTATCACCCACTTCTGCCCTTTCAGGGCGTTCAAAAATTGTTGACGTTTGCTACTGACCACCACAAGGCGAACTG